AACTACTAGCCTAAAGGTTGGCAGTTCAAACCCACTCAGTGGCACCGTGGAAGAAGGGTCTGGCAATCTACTTCCATAAAGATTACAGCCAAGAAAACCTTGTGGAGCAGTTTTCCTCTGTAACGCATTGGGTCATCATGAGTTGGAATTTACTCGGCGATAATTGTTTAGATTTTTTATATATTATTATTGTTTTATGGAGTCAGTGCTCATTGTGATTGGTTCACCTGTTTGTCAATTTTTTGCTCTTTAGTCTTTTATTTGACAGTTTCTTTCTAGTTTGAATCCTGAGTTGTGGACACTCTTTCACTTATCTTAAAATAAACTTTCTTTTCTCTTACTCTTGAAAGATAGTTTAGCTGAGTATGGTACTGAAGGGTGATGTTTATTTTTTTGAGCACTGCAAATTTTTGCTGTTCAGATATCTTCAGGACATTTAACTTCCTTTTGTAAATAATCTGTCTTTCCTGCTATTTGCCTTCTTCTGTTCTTTAGTATTCTAAACTTTGTACAGTGTATCTCAAGGATTTATTTGTATTTATCTTGTTTGAGACTAGGTGTGCCTCCTTAAGTATGGATTCATACCTTTTCTTTTTAATTGTGAAGAGTTGTCAACCATTATCATCTCTTAGACTATAGCTCGTCTTTTTTTTTTAATCCTGCAACCACTATTAGGTATACTTTGGACCTTCTTATTCTCTTTTCTATGTCTCTTGACCCCTTCTGGGCACTAATTGTTTCTTAAATGTATCTAATCCCCTATTTAATCCTTTAATTGAATTAAAAAAGTTATTGTGGTAAAATATATATAACATAAAATTGCCATTTTAATCATTTTTAAAGGTACAATCCAGTGGCATTAATTACATTCACCATACTGTGCAGCCATCACCATTATCTATTTCCAAAAGTTTTCATTACCTGAAACAGAAACCAGTACCCTTTAAGCAATAACTCCTCATTTCTCCCTACCACCTGACCTTGCTAACTGCTAATAAACATTTGTCTCAATGCATTTGCCTGCGCTAGATATTTCATGTAAGTGATATCATGCAATATTTTCCCTTTTGTGTCTGACTTATTTCACTTAGCATAATGTTTTCAAGGTTCGATCATGTCATAGAATGTATCAGGACTTCATTTATCTTTATGACTAAGTAACATTCCATTATATGTATATAATGCATTTTATGTATTCATTCATCTGTTGATGGACACTTGGGTTTTTTACCTATGGCTATTGTGAATCATACTGCAGTGAACATTGGTGTACAAGTATCTGATGGAACCCTTGCTTCCAAGCCTCTTAGGTGTATACCTAGGCATGGAACTGCTAGATCACTTGGTAATTCAATGTTTAACTTTTTGAGGAACTGACAGACTGTTTCCACAGCAGCTACACCATTTTACCTTTCCACCAGCAATGCACAAGGGTTCTAGGTTTTCCATATCCTCGCTAACACTTGTTATTTTCTGATAATAGCCATCCTGGTGGGTGTGAAGTGGTATTTCATTGTGGTTTTGATTTTCATTTCCCTGATGGCTAATGACCTTGGGCATCTTTTCGTGTACTTATTGACCATTTGTATATCTTCTTTGAAGAAATGTCTGTTCAAGTCCTTTTCCCATTTTTTAATTGGGTTGTTTATTTTTTGTTTTTCTTCTTAGTGAATTATTAATATCAATTGCTATATTGTTAAATTCTTTGAATTTTATTTGGTTCTTTTTCAAATTTGCCAAATCTTTTTTGACAAGACTTGTTCTTTGCTCGTGTTTTTGCTTCCTCCTTTTATGTCTTTCATAATTTTAAACATACCTATTTTATAGTCCTTATATGATTATTTTATTATCTTAAAAATCTGTTTTTGCTATCTGTTTTGTCTATTGATTCTTACTCATGGTCAGTTCTTGGGTTTTGCTTATATGTGAGTGTTTTGTAATTTTCAGGCATGGACTTGTGTTCAGGGTTGCAGGGAGTTTATCTGTGGGAATTCTTTGCAGCATGTGTTGAAAATATGTCCCTCTAGAAGGTAGTGGTTTGTTTAATGGTAGGAGGTAAGCTAGTAAAAATAGGTTGTGGAGAATTTTGAATATCATACTAACAATTTCACTCTTAATTGTGCAGACAGCCAGCATTCAATGAATGAAAGAGAGAGTATCTAGTAATGTGGGAAGCCCAGAACAAAGTAGGATAATATAATTAGTGGATAAAATTAAAAAGAAGAAGTATTTCTTCTGTGAGACAGGAATATAAGTAAAAGTAAAGATGAGGAAACTCAGAAGTGGTAGAAAGTTTTAGAGCTTAAATGTACTAAGTGATCCAAATTTTTTTCATTAAAACTGGATATAGGGTCATTTTCACAGAGTGAAGAGGATAGGTATAATAACAGTAACAACGGAGCTTTTTTTAAAGTATCTGTGTTATTTCTGGCATTGTTTGAGACTTCTTTCATAAACTTTTCCCCTATGATCCTCACAACACAGCCTTGAAAATCCAGTAGTGATATCAACACTTTTAACAGTGAAATGAACTTTAGTGTGTTTAAATAACTTGGCCAAGGTTGAAGAAGGAGCCAGTTTTTTACCTGTTTTTGGTGATAAAAGTCCCTATTGTTAGACCCCCCCACTAGAATAATTGGGGGTTGAGAGAATTCAGACTGGGTCTAGTCTGAATGGGAAAACTTTTTTAAAAGTTTTTTATTGTTCTTTAGATGAATATTTACAGAGAAAACTAGTTTCTCATTAAACAATTAGTACACGTATTGTTTTGTGACACTGGTTGCCAACCCCACGACATGTCAACACTCTCCCCTTCTTGACCTTGGGTTCCCCATTACCAGCTTTCCTGTCCCCTCCTGCTTTCTCGTCCTTGCCCCTGGGCTGATATGCCCCTTTAGTGTCGTTTTGTTTTATATGCCTGTCTGATCTTTGGCTGAAGGGTGAACCTCAGGAGTGACTTCATTACTGAGCTATCAGGGTGCCCGGGGGCCATACTCTCGGGGTTTCTGCAGTCTCTGTCAGACCAGTAAGTCTGGTCTTTTTTTGTGTGTGTGTGAATTAGAGTTTTGTTCTACACTTTTCTCCAGCTCCTTCTGGGACCCTCTATTGTGATCCCTGTCAGAGCAGTCAGTGGAGGTAGCTGGGCACCATCTAGTTATGCTGGACTCAGTCTGGTGGAGGCTGTGGTAGTTGTGGTCCATTAACCCTTTGAACTAATCTTTGCCTTGTGTCTTTGGTTTTCTTCATTCTCCCTTGCTCCAGATGGGTTGAAACCAGTGGAGTATCTTAGATGGCCACTCACAAACTTTTTAAGACCCCAGACACTACTCACCAAAGTAGAATGTAGAACATTTTCTTTATAAAGTATGTTATGCCAGATTCCCTAGATGTCCCCCAAGATCATAGTCTCCACAGCCCTCAACCCAGTAATTTGGTCCCTCAGAGGGTTTGGATGTGTCTATGGAGCTTCCATGACCTTGCCTTGGACAAGTTGTGCTGGCTTCTCCAGTATTGTGTACTGTCTTACCCTTCACCAAAGTCACCACTTACCTATCGTCTATTTAGTGTTTTTCCCTCCTACCCCTCCCCTCCCTCGTAACCATCAAAGATTGTTTTTTGTGTGTGTAAGCCTTTTCATAAGTTTTTATGGTAGTGGTCTCATACAATATTTGTCCTTTTGTAATTGACTTATTTCACTCAGCATAATGCCCTCCAGATTCATCCATGTTGTGAGATGCTTCACAGATTCATCTTTGTTCTTTATCATTGCGTAGTATTCCATTGTATGTATGTACCATAGTTTGTTTATCCATTCATCTCCATCTTTTTGCTATTGTCAACAGTGTTGCAGTGAACATGGGTGTGCATATGTCTATTTGTGTGATGGCTCTTATTTCTGTAGGATATATTCCTGGGAGAGGGATTGCTGGATCACATCGTATCATATCATACTTATAGCTTTTTAAGTAAGTGCTGTATTTTTTCCAAAATGGTTGTACCATTTTGCATTCCCACCAGCAGTACATAAGAGTTCCAGTCTCCCCACAGCCTCTCAATGGTATCCCATTGTGGTTTTGATTTGAATGGCTAGTGATCTCGAGCAAGTCCTCATGTATCTGTTAGCTGCTTGAATGTCTTCTTTGAGAAAGTGTCTGTTCGTATACTTTGCCCATTTTTTAATTGGATTATTTGTCTTTTTATTGTAGAGGAGTTGGATTTTCCTGTAGATTTTAGAGGTTAGACCTTTGCCAGATTTGTCATAGCTAAAAATTTTTTGAATGGGAAAACTCTTGACAGGAAAACTTCCTCATTTTAGTCAATTCAAGGCCTATATATTTTTAGTCTGTTCTATAATTATTATAAGCAGCTAACATTTATTGAGTTCTTACTACCTGTTAGATCCTGTTACATGTATTATCTCATTTAATGCTAAAGACAACCAAGTGAGAAACAGATAGTATTTTTACATACTTTTTTCAAATGAGGAAACAGAGACTCAGAGATACTAAGTAGTTTGTTTAGTCATGAAATAGCAAAGCCAGAATTCGAAAGCAGTCCATGCTTCATAAAAAGAGATTATGCTAGACATTGGGGGACTATAGAAGTGCATGACACATTTTGTGGCATCCATGAGTTTATAGTCCAGTAAATGGTGATGGTACCTTTCAATCAGTTTCTACTTCCCTTTGGAAAATGAAAAGAGGAGTTAAATTAAAACACCTTTAAGTTGTGTGTAGACACCACTGTAGTTTATAGATATTTATCATATAAACGGTAAATTGAGCTAAATTCAGAGTTTATAATATGGACCTTATGTATTTCTTTGAATCTTTTAATCTTTAAAGCAGTTTTTTTTTTGTATTATTTAACTGTTGAATAAAATTTATCTATGACAAATAATGTTTTTTATAATGTTGAGGCATAAAGTGCTTAGGTAAAAATTTGTAAAAATATTCAGGCCTTTTATGTACAGTCTGAGTGTTTATGTTTTTAATTATTAGAACCAAATCAACAGTAACCATCTCCGAAGAGCAGAACAAGAGGTGAACAGTCTACAGGAGAAGGTGCAATATCTTTCTGCACAAAACAAAGGACTACTTACTCAGTTAAGTGAAGCAAAGCGCAAACAAGCAGAGCTTGAGTGCAAGGTAAATATGTCAGCTAGCTAGTTTATGTTTTTGTTAATATAATAATGTCTTTTGTTTGTTTTACATACTCATCATGATTAAATTATTTTAAAAACAAAACCAAAAAAAAGCTGTTCTGTGTTCTCACTTTTCCTGAGTTTGGTTTAGTGGTTGCATTTGGACCGTCTTGCTCATCTTGCTCTGGGGGTGGATTTCAGGCAGGAAATCTCATTTCAACCACTTAGTTGGTTAACATAACACCTGCATTGTCATTTATCAGTATCTCTTTATAATTTTTCTTTGACATATAGCCATTTAAAACCAAAGCTTTTAATATCTCAGTCAAAAAGACAGGTAATTTAGAGGGCTTTAGGGCTTTGATACCTTATTAGTGGGCATCAATAGTGATACATGTCTCTGGATAGAGTACAGAGCTGAAGAAATGTGTGTGAATCAGTGGGATGGGAAATTGGATATATTTCCCATAACACTTTTTATCAGTTCTTCTGTTTCTTTTTTTTATGAAGTGTTTGGGTTCGTAAAGTATCAATTGTATAGGAATAGGAATGCAAGTACATTTTTTCCTGAAATTAGTTTATAGCAAAGCAGTTGTGAGAGAGGAGGAGTTTGTGGAGTAGAGAGGAAGAGTGTATGTGTGTGAAATAACTAAAGAAATAACTATAGTTTGAACATTAGAATGAATTACTGAGGACAAGTTACGGGATTTTAAAAATAAACTAGGTATCAGTCTTTCCATAGTGAGATAGGAGGAATGATGCCCTTTAAAGATTCCAGCCTTATTATTCTATGATAAGAAATAAGACTTTCAATGGCACATATAAAGCTGTAATTCCATCAACTTGTTCTGGTGTCATTAAAAACCAAGAGTGAAGCTTGAGTGGTTTATCAGTGTCACTGAAATCCAGAGATGAAATTACATCCTAATAAATATGCATGGCTGTTACAATTTACACTGACAGAAATCTGTAGGCAGTACTGAAATTTGTGCTAATTTAAGAGTGGTCCCTTTTGAAGGATATGACTAGATGAAGTTAAAAATAAAATAATGTGAAATGAGGTGGTATCAGTTTGATTTGCCATACCAATATTTCACTGAGTTTTTATGATGCTATATTATCTGTGCTGATTTATCTTTAATAGAAAATTAAAATTAATCTTCATTCATTGTTGATACAAGTTTTCCTAATATTTTGATAATGATGTTACTGAATTTAATATGGTTCCTTAACTGCTTTAGCATCTGTTAATCAAAGTAAAGTATTCTTTGGTAATAAATATTTGAGGAGTTTGCTAATGAAAATAATTTTCTTTGAATTTATCCAAGTAATGGACAGATTTAGAATTCTAGAGGATTTTATTAAGAACTGATAGGAAATGTTAAACTATTACTATCTCTCTGAAGTATGTTATAGATGTTGACTCTGATCTCTTCCCGTGTTTAACCTGTATATTGATTTATCCAATCTTTTATAATGGCTTTTAGAGATTTCAAGAGTGACCATGTGTTAATTGTCCACCCTAGCACCTAGTACATTCTTATTAAGTGTATATATTCTACCTCTTTATGTTGGAACATTTCAGGAACAAACCTGACCTTTGCAAGGAGGCCAGTTCTTAAATTATATAAATCTGATTAATTTTTATTTAGTTTTATATGATTACATGATTATGGCTTATAACTTGTTGATAATCATTGAAACTCTTATTTTTCACTTATGTAAAATATTGTTTTAAATATTAATCTTATTTTCCCTCTGCAACTGAATTTGAGTGTTTTCACTTAAAGATGAAATGCTCAGCAATACAATTCAATCAAGTACAAGTCTATGATTCCCCAATTTCAAAATCCAAAGCACTCTGAACCTCCAAGTTTTTTTCAAAAGTTTCACACATATTGGAGGCAAAACCTGATTTGAATTGACATAAAGCCCTTTATAATTTTTATTTATCCTTCTTGGTGTGGTATTTATACTTCACTGCAGAAATAATACTGTTTCATTATGGATGCTGCCCTAGACCCCGCTGGATAATACTAATGTATAGTTTATGCACCTTGTTGTTATTGCTAGTTGCCTTCCAACTCATGGCAACCCTATGTGTGCAGAGTAGAACTGCTCCATAAGGTTTTCAAGGCCGTGACCTTTCAGAAGCAGATCGCCAGGCCTGTCTTCTGAGGTGCCTCTGGGTGAGTTCGAATTGCCAACCTTTCAGCTAGTAGCTGAGCCCTTAACCATTTGCCCCACCCGGGGACTCCTTTGCACCTTATTACTTTCTAAAATACAAAAAATCTGGAATTCCAAAACACACTTGGTCCCATGGTTTCAGTAAAAAGATTTTGGGCCTATTAAACATATCTTTCAAGTGAGATTTTCTGTGTAAGTCTTAATTTGAAGATCACAGAAACATTTTATATTCTCTAGTTCTACACAGAGATACATAAACCAAACCCACCGCTGTCAAGTCGATTCCGACTCCAAGTGACCCCGTAGGGTTTCCAAGGCTGTAAATCTCTAGGGAAGCAGACTGTCACATCTTTCTCCTGTGGAGCCACTGGTGGTTTCAAACTGCCATCCTTTCGGTTAGCAGTAGATCGCTGTAACCACTGCACCACCAAGGTTCCTTAATAGAGAGATATAGTCATGAAAAAAATATGTTAATTCATGTGCAAACTTGTAAAATTATTTAATAAATAATGATAAGTGTAGAAAGTCAATCAAAATTATAACATTTGTGCATATATGGAATAATGACAGGAAGGAAACAGGAAGAAATTAAACCTGTTGCTTATATTTAATATAATTTTAATAGCTAATACATATACTTTTTTCATAATTATTTGATTTTTTTTAAACAAAATATAAATGAAAGTATTGTTCCCACCCTGTGCCTGTTTATCCCATCCTGTTCCCAACACTACTGCATACCCTTCCCCCTTTTGTTTCCCTTCAGATAACTGCTTTTATTATTTTCTGATGTCCTTTTAGTGTTTCTTTTAGGTAGATACTAGCAAGTTAAAGTATGTAGTTTTTCTTCTCACTTTCTTACGCAAAACATAGCTTATTATAATAAACATAGTTCTGCTTTTTGTTTTTTCATAAATATGTTTTATAAAGCTTTCAATGTCCGTGCTTGAAGAGTCTTCTCATTTGTTTCTAAGGTACATTGTTTTTCTATTGCGTAGGTGTACCATAGTTTACTTAATTAGGTCTTTATTGATGGACACCTGTGTTGTTTCCAGTGTTTTGCTACTACAAGCATTGTGTAGTCAATAACATTGTACCTACGTAATTTCAGACGTGCACAGGTATATCTACGCATTTCTGCAGGTTAAATTCCCGTAATTTTTGGCTCAAAGGGTAAATGCATTTGTAGTTTGCGTAGATTTTGTCAAGTTGCCCTCCTTAGGGTTGTACCATTTTGTACTTTGACCAGGAGGGCATGATAGTTCCAGTTTCTTCACTGTGTTGCTTACAGACCACGTAGCCAAATGTTTTGTTCATTCTAAACAGTTATCATTTACATATTCTAGGACAGTGATTCTCAAAAAGAGGTAAGGGAGGAGATAAGACTTCAGAGAATGATGGCTTTTAGTTATGTATTCATCAAATATTTGAACATTTTCTATTTGTCAGATACTCTTGTAAGCAGTGGGGGATACAGTGATGAAGAAGATGAACATAATGCTTAATGAGACAATAGGGAAAAAATAAATAAGATTAATTGGGGTGAATGCTAGGAAAGAAATGTAGGATGGTATATTATAGAATGGAGGTGGAGGAGGTGCAGATTTAGATCAAGTGCCAGGCGGTGTTATATCTGAGCTAAGACCTGAAGGATGCAAAAGAACCAGCCATATGAAGTGCTAGGGGAAGATCCTTGCATGAAAAGGGTCACAAAGTTCAAGGCCCAAAAGCAGGAAGAAATTTGGTTGCTAATTCTAGTATGTAATGAAAAGCTGAACAAGGAAATCCAGAGAGGTAGGCTAGGACTCTTAACATCTTACCGTGTAGATCTCTGTAGCCCGTGGAAAGGACTTTGGGTTTTAAGTGCTATGGAGGCCATCAAAAGGTTTTCAGTAGAAAAGCAATATGATGTAATGTTTTGTATTCTTTTTTCTCTATTTTGGTGTATTTCAGGTTTTTTTTACTTTTAATTTTGAAATAATTTTATGTTTAGAAAAGTGGCAAAGGTAATACAGAGAGTTCCCATATACCTTCACTCAGCTCCTCCTAATGTTAACATCTCACATAGCCATGGTGCCTTTACAAAACCAAGAAATGAATATTGGTACAATGCCATTACTAGACTACAGACTTAATTTGGATTTCTGCATCATGTCTCATCATGTCTCCTTAGTCTTCTCTGATCTGTGACTGTTCCTTAGTGTTTTCTTGTTTTTTATTACCTTGTCTATTGAAGAGTACTGGTCAGGTGTTTTGTAAAATATCTCTCAGTTTGGGTCTGTTTGATGTTTTGTCATGGTTAGACTGAGGTTATAGGTTTTGAGGAAGAATACCACAGAGATGATGTGTCCTTCTTAGCACGTCATATCAGGGAGCACATGGTATTGAGATATCTTATTATTAGTGATACTAGCCTTGATCACTTGATAAAGTTGGTTTCTGCTAAGTTTCTCCACTGTAAAGCTGTTTTTTTCCTCTCTATACTCAGGAAACCCTGGTGGCACAGTGGTTAAGAGCTATAGCTGCTAAGCAAAAGATTGGCAGTTTGAATCTACCAGGCACTCCTTAGAAACTCCATGTGACAGTTCTACTCTGTCCTATAGGGTTGCTATGAGTCGGAATCGACTCGATGGCAGTGGGTTTTTTCTGGTTTATACTCTATTCATTACAAGTAAGTTATTAAGTCCTGCTCATAGTCCAAGAGGAGAGGAATTAAGCTCCATTTCCTAGATGAAAGCCTATAAAAGCACTTGTGGACATGTGTTAAAACCACCACAATAATTAATAAATATTGGGGGTAAGGTAGATATATTGAGGCTATGTAAATATCCTTGAAGTTCCACTCACTAATTTTAGATTTATTAGTAGATCTTGCCTGGAGCAATTAATCATTTTTAAAAAGAACACATGTCTCTGTGTGGAGATGAATTTAAGGTGAGATTGGAGAAATATTTAGAGAGATTTGATGTGAGAAGATCAGGTAATAGTACAGGACAGAGATGCTAGCTTGGGTAAGGTATTGGCGGTGGAGCTAGAAAGAAGTAGACTAGTTTAAGATATATTTTGTAGAGAGCCAATAAATCTTGATGATTAGTTTGGAGCGGGGGAAGATTAGGAAAAATTGGTACTCAGGATTTTTTGTTTTGTTTTTACTTGATTGATTTAATTTCTTTTTCTACAATGTTAACTAAAATTATTAGAGTTTAAATGTATTAGTTACCTATTGCCATGTAACAAGCTTTCAAAACTTAGTGACTTAAAATAGCAATAAATATTAATATCTCACCATTTCTGTGGGTTAGAAATTCAGGAGCAGCTTAGCCAAGTGGTTCCATTCAGAATCCTTCATGAGGCTGTGGTCATGTATGCGCCAGGGCTACAGCCATCCAAAGACTTCATGCTGTCTGTTGGTGACATCTCTGTCCGCGAGGGGCTTACTCTTGGTAGAGTATACAGACAAGGAAACACAATTACAATGGAGTGTGGGGAGTGCTGTGCTTCAGGAGGTTCAGGACACTATAATTGGAGTTAGTGTTAGGGTAATGGTTCACAGAAGGCTAAATAAGAATATCCAAGCTGAGACTCTAAGGATATATAGGAGTTAGTCAAAGAACTGCAACACAGAGTTCACTAGGCAGAGGGAATAGCACGTGTGAAGATGTAGAAGTAAGAACGGTCAGCAGGTTGTTTGAACTAAAAGAAGTTCATTCTAGCTGGAATGCGGAATGAGGAGTATGGTGAGGAATGCTGAAAAGCTAGCGCAATGAATAGGGAACAGATCATACAGAATCTTGGACACCAGTATGAGGACCTGGGATATTAAGATCAGGGGAGAGCCATTAAGTGTTCAAAATAGGGGAGGGTCAGGATGAGATTTTCATTTTATTAAAAGTAGATATAGTGTTAAGCTCTGGAGTCAGCTCGTAAAGGCTTACAAGAGCAGATTGTTAAATTTTCAGGAATTTTGAGACACAGTTGTTAATAGCAGCCATATTTAAAATTAAATTATATAACATAATTAAATAAAGTATACTAAAACAAGGGTAATAAATACTAAAAACTCATATTTCCTAATTATTTTTACCACATTTTACTATCATCTGTGCTCCTGAGATTATATCTGTTGTGTCCATATGCTGGAAATACTATATAAACATGTGCTACTGCACTTCTCTTCCCAACTGTGTGTTCAGTTGAAAGGCAGAGTTCTGACTGTGTTATGTTAGTAGCTTGAAAGTAGCCATGGTGGGGTTGGAGTATTTACATCACATAAATTGGCAAACTCTACAAATCAGGGCTTGGGCTTGATTTATTGCTTTGTTGATTGTCTAGATCAGGGGTCAGCAAACATAGCCCAAATCCAGCTGGCTGCCTGTTTTCGTAAATAAGGTTTTATTGGAATGCAGCCTCTCCCATTCGTTTAAGTATTGTCTGTGGCAGATAGGGTAGTTACGATGGACTGTATGACCCACAAGCCTAAAAAAAGTTTCCTGACTCTTGCTCTAGACTTAAGAAAGTTATGAATAACATATTTATGATACTACAACTTAAAAAGTGTGTCATATCTTCAGCCTTTACATTGTAAATAGCACAAAATATTAAGAAAATGTTCTTCCAGTATTTGATTACTGTTATCCAGTTCAGCAAAAAAGTTACTCATATCATGGGCAAAAAAGTGGAATTCTAACACAGATATTCCTTGCTAGTCTTTCATCTTCTCTCTAACATAAAAATATCAACCAATAATTTGTGTCAAAACTTTACTTATTCATCAGTTTCAACCATAGATGGCCTATAGATACAAGAGTGTGGCAAAAATAAATGAATGCATTCTGTACGAATATACTGACTACATGGAATTTACAATAATGGGTTATTTTATATTGTATTATTGTTTGTACATTGTGTACTATACTTTATATCAGTTTATATTAAAATTTATAATAAACTTATGCACACATGCCATAAGTGCATATACACATACACCCGTACACCTGAGAGCCAGTTGTTGAACATTTACTAGCACACCACTGGGTGCGAAGAATACATATTGGGGCCATATGCCAAATGGTGAGGTGTTAAAAGCAGTATTTGTTTGAAATTGAGTACCACTGTCATATCTGAGATGATATTCTGCTTTTCCTAGAAAGATTAGAATTATGACATATTCTAATTTCTATCTTTCTCCTTTGTAATAGAACAAGTATTTATTAACATTTATTGCATCAGAAAGGGTATACTGTTCTTTTTAACACTATCTGGCTAATATATACTCTCTTAATATCCATATTCCCTCATAGCCTATTGTCCTAGTTACTAAATCTTTAAAAAGCTCTCAGTAATTGTTTTTGCATAAAAAGTTAACAGCTTTCACATTCGCAAGTTCATTTTAATTTTAATTAGTTGATTTTTAATTTTAACATTTTGAGTAATATTTATATGAAATGGTATCTCTAATTACTTAAAAATGAAATTCTATTCCATATATACATTCTTCATTTTATATTGACTTTTTTTTTCATTTAATAATATATCTTTTTGTCATTTTCTGGATTTGAGGCAAGTTACAAGTGTTTATGTTTTGCGACCAGTGTTTGGTTGTTTATTATTATTTTGCTTTGTTTTCCACTGTAGAGCAAGGAAGAGGTGATGGCTGTGAGACTTCGGGAAGCAGATAGCATAGCTGCTGTGGCTGAACTACAGCAACACATTGCAGAGCTTGAAATCCAGGTACCATATGAAAATAATAAAGTATATATAAAAATAATATGATAGTTTCTCTTTCCCTTCACACCTGAACAGTGACTTATATCTTCATCCTAATGACTGAATCATTTTCAACACTTACTCATACGTACTTCTTTTTATTTTTAATTTTTCTTCTTGTACTTTAGATGAAGGTTTACAGAACAGGATAGTTTCTCATTAAACATTACACATATTGCCCTATGACGGTGGTTAACAACCCCATGACATGTCAACACTGTCCTTTCTCAACCTTGGGCTCCCTATCATCAGCTTTCCTGTCCCCTCCTGCCTTCTAGTCCTTGTCCCTGGACTGCTGTGCCTGATTAGTCCTGTTTTGTTTTATGGGGCTGTCTAATCCCTGGCTGAACGGTGAAACTCGGAAGTGACTTCACCACTGAGCTAAAAGGGTGTCCAGGGGCCATACTCTCGGGGTTTCTCCAGTCTCCTT